TATTTCTTATATATACATATAAAATTAAATATTAGCAGAGATGGTAAAAGAGGGACCTGTTTAGGGATTTTAACCAACCCGGTATAACATACCTGACCTCTTAATTTCTCTTTATATACAGCAGGAAAAGATCAAACCAAGCACATCAGATAAGACAACACCAAAGAATAAATGGCATACCGATGAGGATAGTGAGACTTCACGTGTTGATCAATATGATAAACAAAGCTAATAGAAGGCATAAAAAATATAGGGCCTGTGAACCTTTTGCAAGAGGTATTGTACTGGAATATCACTATGTCATTCATGTGATCCTTAAATATCAGACAAAACATGAACAAGTGGAAATAAAAACATCGATGATTTTATCAGAGAACAACTTAAAGAAGTAAAAAATTGGCATGTGATTGATTGAATACCTTTTGATAGGTTAGAAAATATAGAAAAAATTGGAGAAGGATTGGCACAGTATATTCAGCAACATGGATAGATGGAAGACGACAACAAAGTTCAACAGAGCGAGAATAGAATATTAAGGTTGCACTCAAAGGGTTAACTGGAACAGAGAAACAGATTATGATAATGAAGGTAACTTTTGATGAGCTCTATCAACAGCCTAAAATACCAAGAGAAGAGTGTATTGTAACATGGTTGGTTTCATTTGATTTTTAGTTATAATTTAGGACTACTACTAAATAAATATTTATTATTGTTTTAGGGGTCTCATTGCTATAATATTTGAGAAAACAGCTAATCTATAATGTATAATGCTATCTAACTTATGGTACTCAAGAATAGGTAAACCATACATTTTTGAATGTTAATAAAAAATAATAGTGTGTTTTAGTTATAAGTTTAATTGCAAATCATTCAGGCGCATTTTTGAAATTGGGCAAAAATCAAAAACCCTGAATTACTATTTAATTATTATATGTTATATACCTCAACCATATGACGCATTTAGTAAACTGAACCCCTAAAACAATAAAACTAATATAATTATTACGTCAAACCCATCTCCCCACCTTAAAACCCATCTCTTTTTACTGTTAAAATTCATCTCTTATAAATATCTTACAGTTAAATAATTTGGCTCACGTTAAATATCCTATCCTAACTACGTTATAAATTTAGAGTAGTGTAAACAGTCACCCTAATGTTGTTTTCTAAAATATGAATAATATATATATTAATGAATGATGCATAACAAGTACACGCTTACAATAAATATCAGTAATAATAATACCTGGCTTGATATTACTTTCCTTATAACTTTAAAGGATCGTTAGTCATTTTGGTCCGTTTAGGTTTGCATCACTTGGCCTATTATTATTATTTTTTTTTTATCTGTAATTGTTTCCCATTTTTCATTCGATTTTCTAAACTTAAATTCCCAATTCAGATCTATTATATGAAAAGACAATAGTAAGCTTAAAAGCAAAACAAGATTATATAATAAATTTTCCAATTGCTATTCTCATTAGTCAGCAGCAAATCACCATAGTTATTGTCATTTATCATGAACTCTGTAATCATATCCGCAAGAAGCAATTAGGATATGATGGCAGTGATAAACTTAGTTTGCAGTCCATGTTTTCCATGGTTATGTTTGCCAAAGATATAGTCTTAGTTGGAGTTCTTGAACTTAAACTTAAATGTGATCATATAACTGGTAGTGAATTTATTCAGATACCCAATCAAATAATTCAGAAAACCTAGCATCGTCCATAAACAAATACCGCTAACATCTCTTGCAAATATATTATATAACGTTATATTGAGAGATCACTAGTTTTTAAAT